TTGTTACTGCCTTTCTTTGCTTCAAGTTGGGTGCATTTCTCTCCAAGAACAATATAATGTAGAATTGGACCCATCACTTTCCTGAAACTAGTCCTTTCCTATCATCTCTAATTTATGCCTAGGATTACCTGTTCCTAGGATTCACACCAGATTTGTAAATCTCTCAATTTCATATGTTAAAATAGTTTATTTGGACATTTTGCTGTGCAATCCTTGGAATACCTGATCAGGATGAGATACTTCCATACGCCTTTGGCCATCTGTGCTTCTCTTTGCAGCTCTGGGGCGTCACTTGTTTTTTAAAGGAAATGAGATTTGCCTTTCATCATTGCGTGATGGGAAATGACTTTGCATCAGGACTGAGCTTGAACTCGGTCTGTATACAACCCTCACCCATTCCTCCCTTCCCTCTTTTGCTAGTATTTAAAAAATATGGCCAGTCTCAAAAGTGAAAGCAGAAATCTTAAGGATCAGAAGTGGCAGGGATGTAGGCAGCAGGTGGGGCCTGGAGCTGCACAGCTCTTGGAGGCAGCACGCAGAACAGGTCTGAGAAGCTAGGAAAGCTCACTCTGTAGGTGCTTGGTGTGGCTCTGCCAGGTGAAACGTGCTGTCTGCCTTGAATGGGAACCAGGATTTCTTGACCTGCCCACCTGGGGTCTCTTGAAAGTAAATCCCCTGCCCAAACAATGGGTTGAAACAGCCACCATTAAGACTCTTAATCCTCAGGTCTGCCCTGTGCTTAGTGCAGGGTCTGGATTTTCCATGAGAAAATACCCATGCTGAGAGTTGAATAAAATACAGATGCACTCAAAATATTCTCCTAGGCCCATTTCTGTGAAGCTGAAGCATATTTAAGGCAAAGGGAAGAGCCTAAAAGCTACTAGAGAGGAGAAACACATTATTATTATAAACCAAAAAATAAAAAAGCATAACAGCCATATTGACACCGAATATCATCCCCAACCCCCAGCGCCAAAGACAATGTTATCAGTAAGGAGTCAGAGGCAGCACAGAAGCCGCAGTCAGTAGCCATCCTAAACCAAACGTCAATTCAGCCAGGGACCAGGTGCTTGCAAACTTATTTCAAGGGCCGAAAGAGTCCAAAACACTCCTGGACACCACAACAGAACTGGCCCCCCAAGGGCAAAAACACCAGTCTCCAGTCAGGGTGCTAGGAAATCAGGAAGCTTGCCTTGGAGCTGTTGACTTCAAGAACACACTCCTGAGCTATAGCTGAGAGGCAAGGATCAGAAGGCTGCTGCCACCACCACAGTAAACATTTCTGTGTGTGTGTGTGGCGGGGAGGGGGGGGGTGCTGGGGGTTGAATCCAGCGTTTGTGCACATGAGGCAAGCATTCTACCAACTGAGTTATATCCTCAGCCCTACTACCAACTTTTTGACACTCATAAAGCCAGTAACTAGACAAAGGACACTGAAGAAAACAAATACATAGGCTGTATGATCAGACTCACCACCACAAGAGTTGACAAAGCAGGAAGATGGACACTTATTGGCCCACCAGGAGTCTCACTCAAGTGCACCTAACTGGTGGGATCTAATTCACATCCTGGGCAAGCCAGCACATACAGATTTTCACTTTTCTGACTATGCAGTAGAGCAAGGTACATTAGGAGATTGGGACATGTATTGAATCTCAATTCACCACATGTGACCCAAGCAATGTCTTCAAAATGTTGAGAGAAAACTTCCGTTGGCTTAGAATTTATGCATGAATTTAGAATCAACACATTCTGACACACAGGAGATGTAGAAATGTACTATTTATCAAATCTTTTTTTTTTAAATGCCCATCTGTTGGCCTCATGTGCAGACAGTTGCACTAGGCCTGAATATCAACATACTTAATGTCAGGGGTATTTATCAAATCATGCTCAAAGAATTACCAAAGGGTGTGTGTTAGCAAGAAGATGTGGATATCAAGAAACAATAGCAAGTACATAGTTGTTAATGGGCTTAAAAATCTCAATATGTATTGATGATTAAGGAAAGAAGGTAAAGGAGAAAAAAATAACAATATTTTGGGGGAGCTTACTTTGTGTCAGGCACTGCTCTAAGCACATTACATAGACTAATGCAGTACTCACAAGGGTCCCAAAACAAATTCATACTATCTCTCTTTATGAAGATGGGGTAACTGGGGCTCAGAGAGGCTAATAGCCTGCCCAAGGTCACAGCTATGGTGGAGTGAGGATTTGAGACCTTGCAGTTTTCCTTATAGTCCTGTAGCTCCAAGAGCCTGGTGCTGGAATCAACTTTTTGAAAGAGCTCATGGGATCACATGGCACATAAACATGTGAAACAGAGAGAAGTTTGTAAAGGGACACAGAGACCCAGAATGAGCTGGCTCACTCTTTTATAGCAATCCACTCCAAGGGAACTAATCCTCTCCTGTGAGACCTAACCCACTCTTGAGATCAGCATTAATCCCTTCACGGAGGTGGTCTTGACCCAGTTACCTCTCCTCAGGCCACACCTGTTAAAGGGCCCACCATCTATTAATACCATTTTATGGGGACTAAGCTTTCAACATATGAACCTTTGGGGTACATACAACATCTAAAGCATGGCGAAGCTCTCCCGAACACTGGAGCCACATGATCTTGTTGTGGCAGGCCCTGTATTTGCTTGACATTTCTTTTCTGTCTACAGAAAATTTTCTAACAAACCCTATGAACTTCATGCTCCTCAATCCTAGAACCATAAAGACATCCATTTAGGGACACCAGTGTGACACACTGACAAGTGTGAGATGATGGGGACTTGCCTCCCAAATTATGGCAAACAGCCTTAAAATTAACATAACTCTGAGGCAAAAGGTTTAAAGGGCAGCTGTGCTGGGCCTGCCTATGAAAGCAAGTGCATTCTGGGCTCTGCCATTTACAAAGGTGAAGGGAACATATCCACCCCCACAACTGATGCTCCCCAGGGGCTGAAGTGATTCCCTCTGTCCAGAGAGGAGTCTGGAATCAGGGCTGTGACTGATTCACAACCTGACTGGGCTGACCAAATCCACTGTTGCTCTCAGGGTACATGTTTCCATGTTGGTCAAAATGGAGAATCAAATGAGAGGTGGCAGAATCCATGGCCCACACATCTCTCACATCAAACAGTAACTTCTGTGTGATTCCCACGGGTGTGAAGCTGCTTTGGAATGATGACTTTCCCAGGGAACTACAGCTGTCACAGCTCCCGCTGACCCTTTCTCTCCTGGGAGTTCCTGCTCCATAGGTCAGGAAGCCCAGGAGGCAGTGACAGAAGCCAAGTTCCATTAGGGCCTGGGATTTGGTCCTGTTGGCTTCACTCCAGTGCCTGGCATGTAAAATGGGATCAACAAGAATTTGTGAGTGGAAACACAGCCTCCACAAGCTATTCCTGACTACCCCACTCCCTTCAAATGGAGAAGTAACCACTGGATGGTTGGGAGGTCCCACTAGACCTGTAAAACAAACCCAGAAGCAAACCCTGTTTATTCTGGGGCCAGGGGATTACGGTGGAATTAGGAATCCCAGGACTGGGGCTGAGCTCACAGCCACTTCTCTGTGATGCTGAAAGCTTTGAAGTAGCTCTTTCCAGAGAACAGTTCCCTGGTTAAATGTGTTGTTTGAGGAAGGAATGAGAACTTTTCATGAAGGATACTTGTGGGATTTTTAGTACCATCATACCCACAATAATCAAATTCCTCTTCCTTTATGGGGCTGTAATTGATTCATATTGATTCATATATGGAGCTGGACTGCACCTTTTTAACAAAGATCTTTACCCACTTTGAGATATTATGCATCGAATCTGGGGGAATGATTCTGTAAGAAATCAACTGACGTCTTAATGAGTTGCTTAACAATTTTATTCCTAGGAAACAAATGATGGGTTAGCCACAAGTAAGCATTAGTTCTGCTCAGATCATTCTTTTATTGCATTTATTAACATGTAATCTGCCATTAGTATCTACTGGACCCTATTCTAAATGCTTGGTGATATATTAATGGAAAGAACAACCCCCCAAAAAATGCCTACCATTGAGGAGTTTACATTCTAATGTGGGGAAAGGATATAGGTAAACAATAAATATAACAAATTGAGTAGGTGTTAGGAGATGAAAATGCTACAGAATAATGGCTACTGAACATATAGCCTAGGGGAACTTAAAATTGAAAGCAATCTATAATTTTAATTATTTATTTGTTTATTTGGTACTGGGCATTGATCCCAGTGGAGGTGGGGGGGGGGCTTGGTCACTGAGGCACATCCCCAGCCCTTTCTATTTTTCTAATTTTGATACAGGGTCTTACTAAGTTGCTTAGGGCTTCGCTAAGTTGCTGAGGCTGGCCCTGAATTTATAATCCTCCTGAGTCAGCCTCCTGAATCAATGGGAGTATAGGCATATGCCACCATGCCCTTTTATTCATTTTTAATCATTTATTTATTTATTTTTCAATCTATAACTTTAAATCCTGCCCATTAACATGGTGGCCCTGCTGTCTCTGGAATTAAATACTTTGTCTCTGAAGGTTAGTTACTTCAGGGCCATACCAGGTCTCTACCATCACAAAATCCACTCCTGCCTGTGGAAAACAAAGAATTTAAATTTAATTGAGTTTTATTTCTTTCTTACAGGCCAGTTTCAAATACTTTTGAATTAAGGCCCTTCCCTAAAGTGAACTGGTCCCAAGAGAATGAGCCAGCATGGTTTTTTTGTTTGTTTGTTTTTGTTTTTGTTTTTGGTACTAGGGATTTAACATAGGGGTGCTTAACTAGTGAGTAACATCCCAAGCCCTTTTTGAAATATTTTTCAAAATGTTGAGACAGGGTCTTGCTAAATTGCTTAGGGCCTTGCAAATTTGCTGAGGCTGGCTTTGAACTTATAATCCTCCTGCCACAACCTCCTGAGTCACTGGGATTACAGGTGTGTGACACTGAGCCCAGCTGAGCCAGTATCTTAATTGGATTTATCTAAGAATCAAACTTCAAATACTGTTTATGCTTACTAAGTTTTTCAATTAAACCTGACAATTTCCTGCCATAGAATAAAAGATGAGCAGAGAATAAAATGCTTTGTTATGATGACCTTTGCACTGGAGTCATAGAAACTGCTCTCCAAACACAGCACAACTGAACACTCTCCACTATTACCACATTGACAACATCATATGGTTGAGGTACATATCCATCAGGAAGTTTCAGAGAATCCAAGGTGAAAAAGATAGTATAATCTATCATCCCATGTCTTTCCTGCAGGCTAGTAATGCAGACCTGTATGGAAATGATGGAAATATTTATGTAGAGTTTATTATACTGTAACAGGCACAGTACACTATCACTCTTGGTCTAACCTGCTAGTTACTCCAATCCCATAAATGATTTTCATCTTGGTGGTACACTGGCAACACCAGGTATGCTTTGAAAACACACCTGTGCCCAAATCCCACCTCACACCAATTAAAGCCAAATCTCTAGAGATGGTACTTAGGTATACAGTGAGAAATTCTGTTCTAAATATTGCTCACCATGATCATTATTCTCTATAAGTAAGGTTTAGAGAGTGAAAGGATTGAGCAAGAATTTTATCTGTACCTTTGTTCAAACAAAATTTCCTTCTCATTTTTAATCTCCACTCCCCAAATCATACCTAGTTTTGACTGATAAATACCACAGCCAACTCCATTCAACCTTTCCCAATGCTTTTCTTTCACACAGACATAAGTTATTCTTTCTGTTGTTCTCAGAACATTCTAATAACATTCTAATACCTAATCAACTATATAACTTAGAACTTAATTATATGTGTTCTACATTGTTTTCAAATCATTTCCTTTTGGAAATCCTGAGATTTCCATAAGGAAATAGGCTCATTTTTTGTTAAAGAATATATTTTCTCATATTTTCAGATTTCCCAGTGCACCCGATAGATTTCTGGCCATGAAAATTCTCATTGAAGGGAATATTGGTGGAAACTAATGACAAATGCAACATGGACAAAAATTACCTCATCCACATGCTTACAGTTCATCGGCTTCACAGAGTGTGCCTTGATGTTTGAGGTGCCTGGCTGTGTGGAATATTCAACTTCTAACCAGTCACCCTTATAAGGCACAAAACCTAAAACAGCCATGGAGAAAACTTCATAAGTTCTCAATAGATGTAAAGCCTATTTTGCACAGATTTAAATAGATATCTTGTAAATCTTTGTCAGAAAGTAAATGTTTAATCCTTTAGCCATTGAGTTTCCTCTACTGATTTAACAAAGTCAAATGGAGGAAAGTATCAACTATTCTTTAAAAATAGCACAGAATTTATTACACAGTTGGTCACATTCAATGCCCCTTCAAGAGAGACAGTCAAGTGTATAAGTAAAACATATGTCTGAACTTGATCCCTGCATTACCAGTTTTGTAACTGACACTTTGCAGCCTTAGTAAAGGTCCTTAATCTTCCTATGCCTCAGCTTCTTTATCTAAAATCGAGAAGGACAATCATAGTTCATATTACATAGAGATGTTGTGACAATTAGTCACTATTGGTAAAACACACAGAATAATATCTGGCATATGGTAACTACCAAGTAAATGTTGATTGCTATTAGGGGTAGCAGAAGCACTAGGAAATATTGTGATTGTAAGCATGAATTAATTTCCTCAGGTGTTTTGGTCAGCTAATGAACTCTTAAATATTTATCTTAAATATTTATGGTTATAAACATATAGTTTCAAAAAGAATTTTACAGTAAGTAAAAAGTAAGTCACAGGATAACAAAGGTGCCTGGAGTAAATGGAAATATCAAACATTGCAGGTGAAAGAATCAATTGGCTCAATGACTCCAGTAAACTGGCAATAGCAACAAGATTAAATATTTCTTTATCCTGGGACCCCAGCAATATGGAATGACACAAAACAGGTCTTGAACCACTTCTCTCTCTCTCTCTCTCTCTCTCTCTCTCTCTCTCTCTCTCTCTCTCACATCTGTATTCATTTCTTTATTGTGCCTTTATATAATACCCATGGAATGATAACTTCAAAATGTATATACCTTCAGATCTAACCAAACTCAGATTCAATTATCCATATGCTTATGCAAGTGTAGCATGTTTAAGCTGAGTTATTGCTGTTCTTCTCATGCACCCAATTTTCCTCCTTTCAGTCTTGCACATCTTAAATTGGCAACTCCATCCACCCTATTGCTCAAATAAAAAACTTTGAAGTTACTCATAGGAATAGAGTGACATTGGCAAAATACCAGAGTAGAAGATTCAAGCCTTCTTTCCTCCCACAAACAACAACTGGACAACTATCCATCAAAAAAAAAAATAGCTCTAAAAGAGATTGGTTGGGTTGGGTGAAGGATTTAGCTCAGTGGCAGAGTGCTTGCCTAGCACATGCAAGGCCCCAAGTTCAGTCCTCAATCCTGACAAAACAAAACAAAAGCACAGAAAAAATAAATAAATAAAAAAGTTCGGCAATCCACTTTAAAAACTACACAATAACCAGGCATAGTGGTACATGCCTATAATCCCAGAGGCTCAGGAGGCTGAGGCAGAAGGATTGCAGGTTCAAATTCAGCCTCAGCAATTTAGCAAGGCCCTGAGCAACTCAGTGAGATGCTGCCTCTGAATAAAATATATACATATATTTAAAAAAGGGCTGGAGATGTGGCTCAGTGGTTAAGCACACATGAGTTTAATCCCCAGTGCCTAAAAGGACAAACCAACCAAAAGAGAGAGAGAGAGAGAATTGCACCAAAAAGTCAAGAAGAATAATTTCATTTTCCTGAATCACCCCATGTCTCATGCAGACACTCCTCACCATGAAGAGGGAATTCTTTTCTCATGAGTTCCCCTAGAAGGGAAAGAAGAGAGGGGTGAACAGCCAGCTTACACAGCATTAAAGGGCACTGCCTGAAAGGCCTGCTCCAGCTTCATTCACCCCACCCACCCAGAATTCTGGGAAACTGCCAGTTGAGAAGTCTGGAGATGGTTAAGAACAAAGAAAAAGGGTATAGCCATCAGTATATGCCACGTGGTGGAAGCCACTGTTGTTTCCAGTGGCCTGCCCTGCACAGGACTCCAGAGGTTTCCTCTGTTAGGGACCCTGACAGCCTGCAGAACGGTAGTTACTAGAAACTGGGCAGTGGCGGGTAGGGAAAGAGAGAAAAAGGTGAAAGAATAGAATCTACCAGTTATAAACCCTGGAGACCTAATGAGCACCATCGTGACTATAGTTAATAATGTATTATGTACTTGAACTTGGCTAAAAGAATAGATCAGGTATTCTCAGCACACACTTACACACATGTGCGTGCACACACACACACACACACACACACGAGGTAATTCTGTGAGGCCATGGGTATGTTAATTAACTTGATTGTGGAAATCATTTACAATGTATACATATATAAAAAATATTGAGCTCTGTACCCTAGGGTATACAATATCAGATTGCATATCCTAAATATACACAAATTTCATCAGTCACACCTCAATAAAGCTAGAAAGGGACACATTAAAAAAAAATATTGGAATTAACTTTGACTCCCATTTTCTTCACCCAGAGGTCCAAATTCATTAGTAAATACTTCATCTCTAATTTCAAAATAAACCAGAATCAAATTGATCCTTAGAGCCTCTGCTTCTACAACCTCTTCCAAGTCTCCAACATCTCTTGTCAGGATTATCACAACTTGCTACTAACAAATTTTCCGACTCCACATTTGCCTCTACATAGTCCTTTCTAAACAAAGCAGACAGAACATTTCATAACAAAATTCAGGTAAGAGTCTTGGTTTTACAACCACATAAATCAAAATAGCAAGCTGCCTGGTGGGGCTAAACTAATATTCCCTTTCACACCCAAGCTACATGACAATTGCATTAAACTGAAAGCACATGAACCAAAGTATAACTCTGGGTATAAACAAAATCTCAGAACATCTGCTAATTACTAATAGAATTCAACAGTGGACACACACATACACACACACACACACACACAGAAAGGTATAGTTCTGTCTCCAACCTTATTTTGAAGCACTTGAATATTTTAAAAATAGTGTCTTTATATAGAAGTTAGATAATTAATTAATGAAGATAATTAAATAATTAATGAATGAAAAATTATCCAGACATTACTGATTGTATTCAACTAATGAACACGTAATAAATGATAGTATGACTTTTTAGAAATACGACCTGCTTACATCCTTATATTGTATATTATTTTCAATTCCAAAATTCCATCTCAAATATTAAAGAGTCACTGATTAGAGCCAAGTACACTGCAGAAATAGTTCCAGGTCCTCTCAAAATATTTAGCACTACATGTTTTAAAAAGGTAAATCATACCTTCAGAAACAATGTCTATAGAGAAGTAAGTTTTTTTATCAATGTAGACAGTATCTTTCTTTATACAGGTAACATAACCAACTAAAACTCTGATTCTGGAGTCCAGTGGTTTAGTGACATCAAAATTATCAGGGATGACATCCACCTATAAGATAAGGAAACAATTACTTAAAGTATGACAGAAATTTTAAAAGGGGAATTTTATGCTTAAAACATTGTCATTCAAAAAATATTTTATTGCTGGGCAAGGTGGCACATGCCTGTAATCTTAGTGGCTCAGGAAGCTGAGGCAGGAGGATTGCAAGTTCAAAGCCAGCCTAAGCAACTCAGTGAGAGTTGTCTTTAAATAAAATACAAAATAGGGCTGAGGATGTGGTTTAGTGGTCAAGTGCTGCTGTGTTCAATCTGGGGTACCAAAATAAATAAACAAAGAAAATTTAAAAATATTTAATTAATTAATTGATTTATCTTGCAGTGCTAGGGACTGAACCCAGGGATGCTTTATTGCTGAGTTACATTACCAACCATTTATATTTTTAATTTTGAGCCAAGTCTTGATAAATTTCCCAGTCTGACCTAGAACTTTCAATCCTTCTGCCTTTCCTTCCCCAGTAGCTAGAATTATAAGTGTACACCACCACACCCAGCTCAAGAAATATATTAAACATCTATTGTTCAATACTAGTGAATATGTTCACATGACAACCAGATCATAGACATGATATGATAAAAATAATGCCATGCTTCATGTATTCATCAATATACTCCCAGATTTTAATTGCTCACCCCAGTTTAATGCATCAATAGTGTTAAATTCAAAGATAAAAAGTACTATTCTTGCTGGGCACGGTTGCACATGCCTGTAATCCCAGTGGCTGGGGAGGCTGAGATGGGAGGATCACAAGTTCAAAGCCAGCCTCAGAAATGGTGAAGTGCTAAGCAACTCAGTGAGACCCTGTCTCTAAATAAAATGCAAAATAGGGAGGGGGATGTGGGTCAGTGGCTGAGTGCCCCTGAGTTCAATCCTTGGTACCAATATATATATTATCCTTGCCCTCTAGGAATTCACAATTTAATGGAGGTGGGGACAAGTTCTAAGGAAGTTGTGATATAGGATATAAAATAAGTCCAAAAATTGCTTTCAGGAATTTCCAGGAGGGAGAAAAATTCAGACTAGGATACTTCCTCTACTTGGAGGAAGTCAGATTTGAGTGTGGTTGAGAAAAAAATTGAGAGTATACCTGGCAAATGGGGATGGGGGTGGGGGGCAAGTCAGGGAGATGGAGACAAAACAAACACAAGTTAGGGAAATATAGAGGAAAACTATAATATTCAAGATCCAGTTCTTAAGAAGTATAAAATACAGTTGGAAAAGTAACTTCAAATGAGAAAGGGTTGTAATACAACCATCTCAAATTAGGGCTTACTTTGTCTATGACAGAAAAGCATGCAACTATTTTTGTTTATTGTGAGTGTAAGAGTTTTTATATTAATTTTTTTAAATTAAAGAAATAATTCATGCCCATTACAGAAAAAAAGTAGAAAAAAAACAGAGAAGCACAATGCAGTAAGTGATTGCCCCTAGTATGTAATTCCATTGCTTAAAGAAAACTACCGGCCACATTTTAGTATTTACCCTAGCTCCAGATTTTTTCTACACAAATGTATATATGCCCTACTTTAAAATAAAAAATTAGCATTGTATATAGTGTTAAAATAACACATAATGATGACAAACAATTTTTGGGGGGTCCTTGGGATTGAATTCAGGGGTACTTTATCACCAAGCTTTGGTCCTTATTATTTTCTACTTTGAGACAGAGTTCAGCTAAATTTCCCAGGATGGCCTTGAAATGGAAATCCTCCTTCTTTAGCCTCCCAGGTCACTGGGATTACAAGCATGCACTACCATGCCCAACCTGATTGCAAACATTTTTATAGAACATGAGGTTATTGTAAAGAAAATAAGGCATCTCAAAGAGTGAGTGGACCATATTTTATGGATCTAATTCCACATTGGACATTTAACTTGTATCCTAATACATTGCCACTAGCCTGATTTATTTCTGTACAATAAACTATAATCAGTAGAATTTCTTGTTCAGAGGTTTCTAATGGAAACAAACCATTGAGTTGTAAGTTATTTTTTGTGCTTTTAAAACAGCCAAGTTAACTTGTATCTTTCTAGCTTTCCATACCAATCTCATGATCTTTTGGCCCAGATTCATTTTCATTGAGGAATAAAGCACCAGGTCCCTCTCTATCTACTGCCATCCTGTTGGTACCCTAAAGGATAATTCGCTACATCTTCTCATCACTCTGTGCCTTGATTCCACACTAGCTCACAGTCATACCACACATTAAATTTTCCTCCAAGTTTCATGTAAACTCTTGCTATCCAAATTCTGTTTCTTTAGCTCAATAAGGAGTGCAGACAGATTCAAATGCTTGTGAGTATGAGAGAGGTGTAGAATGAACCCAAAATTGGAAAGGAGACCTCAGGAATTAAGAGAGACCAAGAAAGTGAAATGTTGCTGAGGAAAGCTACAGGAAGCAAGCAGAGCCAAGTCAAGAGAAGGTCATGTGGGGTGCAACTGACAAGACCATAGGGACAGGGTTGCACAAGCCCTTTGGCAATTACATGCTGTCATGTGCCCTGGATGATAAATGCCATATGTGGAGCTATAGGACTTGTTTGCCCAGCTGGGTTTAAATCTTATTTTGGTGTCATCCCTTCTTTCTATTCCCTATTCCTCTCTTTTGGAATGGGAAAATTTCTGTGTCACTGTTTATTGGGTGTATCTGACTTGCTTTTGATTTTTACAAGGGCTCACAGCTAAGTGTTTGCCTTGAGTCTTGGAGGAGACTAAATCTAGACTTTTGAGTAATGTGGAATTATTAAGGCTCTGGGGACTCTTGGAGATGGACTAAATGCATTTTGCATTATGAAATGGACATGAGCTTTTGGGGGCCGAGGCAGAATGTTATGATTTAGATCTAAAAAATGTCCCCCAAAAGCTCATGTGTTAGTCAATGTAGCAATGTTCAGAGGTGAAATGAATAGATTGTGAGAGTTGTAACTTAACAAGTCCATCCTAGTTTGAATGAACTGACTGGGTGATAACTATAGGCAGGTGAGTGTGGCTAGAGGAAGTAGGTCACTGGGAGCATGGCCTGGACTGTATCTGTCCATGATATCTTCTTCTCTCTCATTCTGTTTCCTGGTTGCCATAAGCTGAGAAGCTTTCTCCCACCATTCCCCTCTGCCATGGCATTCTGCTTCACCTCAGAATCAGCAAGGGAATCAACTGACCATGGACTTAGCCTCTGAAACTTTTCTTCCTTTGAATTATATTTAGGTATTTTGGCCACAGCAACAAAAAGTTAACACAAGGGTCAAAGTGGACTATCCAATTTATCATAAGGTACAATTGGGTAGCAATTAGCAAAACAAGATATGAATCCTTCTTTCAGTTTGCACACACAAATCAAGCCAGGCTTGCTGAATGTTTGCATGTAAATAGATAAAAATCACAGGAGAGACTATTTGGTGAATTATGAATTGCAGTATGCTTTTCTAAGAATTTTTACTGAACTCAAAAGCCTCATAGAGAATATGGAGATCATAATGGTACATAAAAAATGAGCACTCTATTGGCTGGGGTTGTGGCTCAGCAATAGAGCGCTCACCTAGAATGTGTGAGGCCCTGGGTTCAATTCTCAGCACCACATAAAAATAAAAGTAAAAAATAAATAAAATAAAGGTATTAAAAATGAACACTCTAGGGCTGGGGCTGGTGCTCATTGGTAGAGCACTTGCCTATCATGTGTGAGGCACTGGGTTTGATTCTCAGCACCATATATAAGTGAATAAAATAAAGGTCTGTCAACATATAAAAAAATATATTTAAAAATGAACATTTTAGAAGTCAAAAGATGGTACTGTGAAAGTAATTGCAAAACCTTTGAATCCAAATTTTCATAATGTACTTTATTTTTTGACAGAAATATCTATAATGTCCCTAATATAAAAATAGTTCTGAGAAAATAAAAGTTGCCGTAGTCTCATTAAGGCTTAGAGAAATTCTAAATAAACTTATGAGACTGCATTTCACTTCTAAGAATGGCAAAGACTTCACATTGATTATATTCTCATCTTTGCCAGTACTGACAAACAGGTCATCTTATAGCCTGCTGGTAACAGTGTCAATTAGTACAATGAAGCAAAAAGATGATTTGATAATATGAATCAAAATGTTAAATATCTGAACTGTGGTGATAGTTACATGCCTCTGTAAATCTACAAATAAGTCATTGAATTGTACTCTTAAAATGGGAGAATTTATGGTATGTAAATTATTCCTCATTAAAGCTATTTTTAAAAGTTTCAAATATTTGTCATTTGAGACAGCAATTCTACTTACATGAATTCATACTATAGAAAATGATTTTGGGGGGATGGCTTTGGTTGGGGGTTTTTGTTTTTTACTTTTACCTTTTTTTTCATGCTGGGAATCAAAGTCAGAACTTGCATACTAGACAAGCACTGTGCCACTGAGTCATAGCCCCAGAAAATGTGAAACTATGGAAACTATGGCAAGAGTATAGCCTGAGCCCAGGAGTTCAAGATCAATCTGGGAAACAGAGTGAGACCTTGTCTCAAAAATTTAAAATATAAGAAGTGCCAAAGCAGATATGGCAGAGTCAGCAGGATGGCTTAATAACCAGGCCCTGTCTCAAACAAATAAAAAACAAAAAACAGAAATCACTACAAATATTAGAATACCCATTACAAAAGAACGTACAGCTTCAGGGGAATGAGACTTCAAATTCCACTCTACATCCACTGTAAAGGTCACATTACAGAGTTGGGATTAAAAGAAGAAAGTGCCAGATGTAGTGGCACATGCCAGTGACTCAGAAGGCTGAGGCAGGAGGATAGCAGGTTTGAGGCCAGCCTCAGCAATTTAGTGAGGCTCTAAGCAACTTAGCATGACCGTGTCTCAAAATAAAATATAAAAAGGGACGGGGATGTGGCTCTGTGATTAAGCACCTCTGGGTTCAATTCCTGGCACCAAAAAAAGCAAGATTGAAAATCCACTAGGAGCTGGGTGTGGTGGCTGGTGCATGCCTATAATCTCAGGGGCTTGGGAGGTTGAGGCAGGAGAATCACAAGTTCAAAGGTAGCCTTGGCAATTTAGTGTGGCTGTAAATAACTTAGCAAGACCCTGTCTCAAAATAAAAAAATACAAAGGACTGGGACTCTGTCTCAGTGGTTAAGTGCCCCTGGGTTCAATTCCTAGTGCCCCCCCTTCAAAAAAAAAGCCCACTAGAAAAGAGACCATTCCCAAACTCATGAAAATCTTACTTTGGTTGCTTTCAATTCAACAGATGTTTTATCTTCTTCCACAACTGCAGTAACTTTCTGTCCAATTTTCAGAGGCACGTTTTCAGTTACTATATTAGTACTGAAGTAGATGGACTCATCAATCAAGCCATAATCATCACATAAACTTGTCACAACTCCCTGCACAGTTTTCAATTTGGTGTCACCTATGGGATGGGTAAGCAACAGGTTCTATTAATTAATTTCAAAAGCAAACACACATTACAAAAGAGTCCTACCAGAGGAAGATACAGATCTACTTCTAGAAATTAAATGGCTGAGTTTTGAGATACTGATGACACAGTCCTAGAGCATAATGGTGACTTGTGCAAGCATCTGGAGGCAGAGGGCCAAGTTCAAATCCTGGCTTCCTTATTTCTCTGTACAGCATAGTGACAGTGGCCTCCTACCACAGGCAGCAGAGGGCCATCATTAGGACTGTACTGTCCAGATGAAGATTGCCTGGTTTTTAAACATAGCTCCTACACTGATCAACTTTGTAGCTCTGAGCACATTTCTTAATCTCTCTGATCTTGATTTGTCAGTCAAACAAGAACAATCCCAATGTTTACCTAATTTCTGTTGCACATGCATGTCACTGCTTAGAACCCTGAGTATCTTGCACATGTTAGAGTGCAAATGTTGTTGTTGTCATCATATCTGTTCATAGAGAGCCTTAATTGACCATTATTATATAACTTTATTATATATTATTATGTGGTTTAACTTTATTAATATATGATTTAATTAACATTAATATACAATTGTATTATATATTAGTATATAACTTTATTATATAAATTTATAATGATGTATTATTATATAACTTTATCATTTTCATATCCATAATGAGAAGCAACATATGGGGATCTTTAAACATCTCACCAGAGCAATAAAAGATATCAGGGATTAAGTCTAGTTGAAAAGTGCAACTGAATCACCAGGGGGGGTTTGTTTTCTCTAAACAAGCCTAGCTGGTAAGTGGTATTTTGGGATTTGACCTGGGACAATTTGCCTGCAGCACTGGAGCTCTGAATCACAACGCCAAAGCTGCTGACCTAATGACTTGGGTGGATAGAAAGAAAAGCTGGGAAATTTTGGATTATACTAGATTATGAAAATAAAAGTCAAGAAAATCTGGCAAACTGGAAAAGAAACCAGATTAAATGTATTACATCATATCCCAGAATAAAAATGAAGGACAAAGAAGACAACTGTCACTCAGGCACATGGAAAACTTGTTAGACTCTTCTATAGATCCCTGTTGATAAAAGTAGAGGTAATAAGTGGCCAGGCATGGGAGGCTAAAGCAGTAGGATTGCAAATTCAAAGCCAGCCTCAGAAACTTAGCGAGGCACTAAGCAACTCAGTGAGACCCTGTCTCTAAATAAAATACAAAATAGGGCTGGGGATGTGGCTCAGTGATTGAGTGCCTCTGGGTTTAATCCCCAGCACCTGCCTGCCGCCCCCATCCCCCCAAAATAAAGTAGAGGTAATAATGGATGCCATGGTAAGTGACGTCATCTAAGCATAGAGAAATTACCTTCTCTAGCAAGATTTGCTGTGACCTACCCACCTCTCCTGGGGGTTCACACTCTACTGGCAAAGAAGCCTCAGAAGATCCCAGACCAGGAAGACAGGGCCCTTCCCAGGGAGTTTCTTCCACCACCCTCCTAAGACACTGAATTTGTTCATGGGGAAACACCCTCAGGGTGGAGCACAGGATGAGAGATACTGCTGGATCTGAGTGTGGGGTGTGAATTCTGGGGGACTGCACAGTAACTGTGTGCCCTTGCTTTCCTGTTCGCATCCCTAACTGACCCATAGATGGACACGGCAATACTAAGACTTCTCTCATGGGGGGTTTGTAGGTATTAATGACATGCAGCCCTTAAAGCCAGATAAGTGCTGGACACAAACTAGAATCAATGTAATTCAGAGCACCGATGCCATCCATACAGCAAACCTTCCCATGTTTGATTGGACTCGCAACCACCACACACCACACCTCAATCAGTGCTTCCGCGTTCCCCCGTCACACCCCCTTCTCCCCGAATGCCCACTTGGTGCCAGAGCTGGCAGGAGCTTAGGATACAAAGTGAACATATTAAATGCGGCTCCTGCTTTCACACATGTGACTGACTTGGCTTCAAGTTCATGGTGTGGACAGGAAACCAAATTCACCCTCAAATCAGGGTGGTTCACATCCCCAAAAGTGTAAAATGGCTTCACACCAAGGGAAACGCGGGGATGGTGGAGCTGGACACTCTTCTCCGTCATTTCTCAGTGTTGATCCAAACACCTTCCCACTTTGGATCAACAGGACAGTTAAAGGCATTAGTCGATGTTGGCCTAATTCTGGGGGACTTAGTGACAATCTCTCCACCCCCCACACACATAAGGTTATACACATCCCTAGCGTTTTGAGGCCAGCCTCAGCAACTTAGTGAAGACTTATCTCAAAATAAAAAGGGCTGGAGATGTAGCTCAGTGGTAAAGCCCCATGGTTCCCGATCAGGGGTGAGAAGACCCCTCGGAGGAGACTTCTCACATAGTGGACAAGGGGACTCAGATAACTACCTTGTGGAAGCCCCAGATGTCTGTTAGGGTTTTCCCTCCTCTGAAAGAAGGCCATAAACCTTCTCAGAATTCTGAGCATGGTGCTGTCACCAGAGGCCTGGCTGCCGCCCTCGCCACACAGACCAAATACCAGGCCTTCTCTCTGGGCACGCCCTATGATCACACAGCGACTCTTCAGGGACCCCTGTTTCTTTTCCACAGACTCTGAGAGGAGGGATCGCCAAACCGTTAGGATATCTGAGAGGGCCAGGGATATGGCGCCCCTACGGAAGCTCTCAGGTCTGCCTCAGCCTCTTTATCCTGAGAGGGCTCATGCAGGGCCGCCTCTTTTCGCCTTCCAGCCAATGGGGATGTAGCTGGTGATCATGTGTGTGTCTGTGACCAATAAAAAGTGGGGGGTGGGGGAAGTCATAGCTCCACCCATCCAAGCTGTGGGTTCATTAGGAATGTCCCAGGAGTGTGCCCAGGGTAAAGGAGATATGTTCCATGGGGTTCCCTGGAAGGACCAGAGGTCTGGCTTGAGAGGTGTGGCAGAAACTTGCCCCCAGGCTGTTCAAACAAAAAATCTAGAATGATGCTTAGTATAAGGATTGGTGATCAGTAATTACTCTTCACCAGGGATCCTTTGAAGGCCAGTGGGTATATAAACCATTTTAGGGATGCTTTGTGCCTGTCTTCTATGTTAGAACTCCCTTGATGAACCTGGTAGTACTTTAACATGGAATTCTTTGATGATCATTACCACTACTTATTCATTCCACTCCAATGATGCCTGTTACTTAACCATATGTATTAGATTTATTCTTTCATTTAGTATTTGTTGAGTACTGACCACGAGTCAGGCACTGCTCTGAGCACTTGGAATTAACCATAAAAAAATGGGCAAATTATCTTGGCCCTGTGTTGGTAATTTCTCACAACGGGAAGATAAAGGAGAAAAAATGAAAGAGATAGTAACTGGTCTTGGTGTTGCAGGCCTGTTTCTTGCCTATAATCCCAGCCATTCAGGAAGTTGAGGAAAGAGGATCACAAGTTTTGAGGCCAGCCTCAGCAACTTAGTGAAGACTTATCTCAAAATAAAAAGGGCTGGAGATGTATCTCAGTGGTAAAGCACCTCTGAGTTCAATTTCCAGTACCACACCTACACAAAAACCAAAACAAACAAAACAAAACAAAAATAGTAAAATACTTGATAGGTTGAAAGGTAATAAATGCAATGAGAAAATATAGCAGGGTGAGAGCATTCCAGAGGGGCTGGAGAGAAGGGTTGGATTGCATTTTAGAAGAGACTAGCTAGAATAGGCATCATTATAAAGCAACAGGTAAGCAACACATTGAAAGAGGTCCTGGCTTTAGCCAGGCATCTATTTGGAGGAGATCTCTAGACAGAGAGAACACCCTGTGGACAGATTGTGAGGTAAGACTGTACCTGATATGTTCATGGAAAAGCTGTGTTTGGCGTGGAGGAAATCAGAGCTAGAATACTGGGAAATGTGAAGAGAGTGGTCACAGAGCCAGGCTGTGTAGCTAAGAACTTATAGTTCTCAGCTATTCCTGTGCGTGATGTGTGAAGTGCCTGAAGGGTTTGGAGCCTTGGGGAATCCCTCTGGCTTCTTGGTTGTGAATAGGCTCTAGGGGGCCAAAGCATGGAGCAATAAGCTATTAGGAAGGTACTGGATGTGTTCAATCTCAGGGCTGCAAGATAAAAGTTATTGTTATTCAATCCTAAAGAAAGAACTTGGAGGATTCAATGAAGAAAGTTTGGACATTTTATTTATCCATGTGTTCCTTGGCAACAGTAGGCAGGGACAAAATGTTAGACTTCACCATACCTACAAGCAGGAGAAATATATAGGAAATGGACAGCTTCCCTTGTCTGTTTCCTTTGTTATCACATTTCTCTTCTTGAATATTGTGACTGCCTTGAAATTTCCTCCACCAGATTAATTGGTCCATTATCTTTAAATTCAGCCTCATAGAAACTCTCAAGACATGGGCAAAATGTAGACAAGTGTTGAGAGCCACAGCCGAGTCGGGATGACGCCTGGCATTTTTGCCAGAAGTAGTGGTTGAGAGGTGACACTAGCGAGCCATTAAGATGATGACTTTTGAGTTCTGGTGGAGTTCCCGTTGAGTTCCGCTTGAGCTCTCACAGGATTCCCGGAGAGTTCCCATTGGTTGGGGAAGTGCCGGAGGTGGGATATTTCCCGTTGGTGGTTCTTGGAGGAGGCACGTGGCATTCGAGAATTCCTGGGGAGCGTGTTCGGAGTCTGCTGATGGATTTCAGAAATAAAGTTTGTTCCTGCTTCAGTGGCTCGTAATTTGTGCCCAGCCAGACTGTGGCAGACAAGCTCTTTGCCAAGATATAACACAAATGGCCTCTGGTTCAGTTCCCAGTAGCGTCCTCATTCTCTGAAATCTCTTGTGCCCAGTCTTTACTGTCTACATTCCTATTAATATCCTACTCTTCTGAGCTCCCACTAGAATCGCCCATTTAGCTTACAACATTCTAAAGCTTTTCCAGCTTGCATCTCTGAACTTCTCAAAGTTCATGAAAAATCAACTCCAAAGGCTTCTGAACCACATGGCTAGTTAAGTCGCAGCAATCACCCAACTTCTTGGTACCAATTTCTGTGTTAGGTATTTTGGTCACAGTGACAAAAAGTTGGTGATGAAATACCTGAAAACTTAGAGGAAATGTTTATCTTGTGCTCATGGTTTTAGAGGTTCAGTTTATGGGAGGGCCCACTCCATTGCTCTTAGCCTGAGGTGAGGAAGAACATTGCAGTAGAGGAAAGCTGCTGAACTCTTAGTACCAGGAAGTGTGTGTGTGTGTGTGTGTGTGTATGTATGTATGTATGTATATGTGTGTGTATATATATATATATATTTCCATCCTTCAAACCCTCAGGGACTTCACACAACATGCACAGGAAAAGCTGAGAACTATAAGTTCTTAGCTACACAGCCTGGCTCTGTGACCACTCTCTTCACATTTCCCAGTATTCTAGCTCTGATTTCCTCCACGCCAAACACAGCTTTTCCATGAACATATCAGGTACAGTCTTACCTCACAATCTGTCCACAGGGTGTTCCCTCTGTCTAGAGAGCTCCTCCAAATAGGTGCCTGGCTAAAGCCAGGACTTTCTCTCTCTCACACACACACACACACACACACATATAAATGGAGAGAGAGAGAGAGAGAGAGAGAGAGAGAGAGAGAGAGAGAGAGAGAGAGAGAGAGAGAGAGAGAGAGAGAGAGAATATGTGCATGCTAGGAGTCAGAGAGAAGATATATAATTCCTAAGAGCACACCTCCAATGATCTATTTCCTCCAGCCATGTCCCACCTGCCTACAGTTATACCCAATAGTCCATTCAAATTGTTAATTCATCAAATGGAATAATCCACCAATGAGGTTATAGCTCTCATCATTGATTAAAGACCCACCTCTGAACTTTCCTGCAATGGGGATCATGCTTTTAAACATGAGCATTTTGGGGGGAGCATTTATAGATATAAACCATAACAGAGGTAATTTATGAAGGGTAGGAACTGTCCATATTACTATTGGGCATTTGTAACAAATCCCACCTAGATCACATTTCTAGGTCCAAACTGCTGTGGAAGAATAGCTGTGTATCCACATTCCTCCAAATCCACATGTGGAAACATCAGCACCTCAATCTCATGTACCTCCAGAACTCAGAAGAAAGCTTTGAGCCTTGGGCTGGTTACTTAGTTGTTGTGGTGAGTCTCATGAGGGTGACAATAGGAACAGTCACACAGCAAATCTACTCCCAACCAGCTAGCAGGACTTCTCCATCCACATACACAAATACCAATTCATGTCACAAGCACCCAGTGTTCCTCAAAGTCAGAAGGGATCCATGACCCAGGACTGCCTCAAGACACTCTGAAAGTGGGCTCATGACTTACCCCCTGGTCCCTTTCCACAAGTGACCCTATGGTAGGCCTTGAGCACAGATTGCCCAGTGAGCCACTTAGAGGAGGAGCTCACAGGGCACATGGGGGTGAGGAGCAGGTGCCAGAGGTTTTGAGAGGGTTCAGGGAACGGGAATGCCCCCCGTTGTCCCCAAGGAAGTAGTCTGTGGTAAGGGTTGTGTGGCTATTACTGGGGCAAGGTGAATCAGAAGGACCTTACCGCCAGACCAGGGGAGCTGCAACATGGCCTCCCAGTTCCAGAGACCAGTGCCCAAAGGTTTCTTTCTTTCTTTCTTTTTTTTTTTAAATCATGGTATTAAAAAGAAACATCAGGGTGCATGCAATAAGGACCCCAGTGGGTTCACGGGCACTCTGGAAGGTCATTCCTTTGGGATTCCAAAAGTGTGCCCAGGGCGATTTCCCAGAGGCCTTTCCAGGTGACCCCAGCAGATCTGAGCACTTGTGAAAGCCATCTCTCTGCAGATGTGACCCCAGCGCTGTGTGGCGCCTCCTGCGCTACTTTTCCTACTTCCCTCCACGCCAGGCTTTTGCTCTGGCAGAGAGCGGCCCAAGAGCTCAAAGGCTAGCTGGGGGTGCAGCTCCTGCTCTGCGGGACCGGGACCGGGGTTATCCCTGCTCCTTGTGTGCCTGGCTCCCTGTGTGGCATCCGGGTGCAGCGTTGCAGCGGCGCAGCGGCGGGAGCCCCGAGCACAGCTCCTGACCATGCTTCAAGCCTCAGACTCATCCCTCTTCCCTTTCCTGCTTCCTCCCTTTCTGTGGCGGTTCAAAGTGACAGCAGATCGCTTGCTGGAGCACGCTC